TATATAAAATCAAATTTATAAATAGGATAAAAATAAAATAAATAAATATCACTTATTATATAAATATTTTTATGATTAAATAATAATACTAATAATAATAAATATATTGAAAATAAACATATAAATTAAAATATATTTAAGCAATAACTAAAATAAATGAAATTAAAATTATAATATATAAAAAAACAATAAAACTTGTAATCAAAAATAAATGAAAATATTGAAATTAGTGATTAAAATGTAAAATATTTAAACTTAATACTCTAATTCGACATATTACCAGATCTGGAGGTCTATAGTGTAATTTATCCTTATATAATTATTTCGGGGTTAAAATAAAATTTATTAAAGAATGAGGGACTAAATCTAGTATTTATCATAAAATATATAAATACTGGCATGGACTAAAACATAATAAAATAAAGTTCGAAGACTAAATTAAAATGATCAAGAATTGCTTTTAAGTGACTAAATTGTAAGGATTACAAACTATAGTGACTGCGGACAGGGTTTACCCCTGATGGAAATTACACGCACACCCCTCCCCAAAACGACGTCATTTAGGGAGAGGTTTAAATACCCCAAATGGCCGACCCTTCGGGCCATTTATTTCATTTCCTCTCTTTTCATTCTCTCTCTAACTGAGAGAGAATTAAAAATGCTCTGTCCTCTCTCTTCAACTCCCTTGTCTGAGGGAAAAGAATTTCGCCTTACTCTGGCGTCGGTAGCCACCGCCACGGTGGCCAGAATTTCGAAAATTATCCCAAACCGTAGATCTCTATATCCTAAGGTCAAATATGACCTCTATTTATCCTAAAAACCCTTAGAATTTCCTAGATCTAGGATTTTACCTTCGAAATCCGAAGGTTTCCGGCGATGTTTCAAGTGCCTCCGATGACAAAGTAAGCTCTCTCTTCTCTTCTCTTTTTTTTTACTGGTTTGTTGTTGATTGGGATCGTTGGTAGCTTTTTGTCTTCCTTCGTTTTTTTTCTTCTCTCATCTCTGTTCAATGTTGCTGTCTGTTGTCTTCTTTTTTTTCTGCAGGTGGTCGATGGCTTTTATAGCCATCGACGGTGTGGCTCTCAGACCGGTCCCAAATGGCGACCCTAGGTGAGTCACCGAACTATAGTGGTGACTCACCATAGGGCTTCGACGTGGGGAGGGGCAGCTGGCCTTCTGGAAAGCTCGGTGAGGTGGCATGGCATTGACGGCGGCGTGGCAGCAGCTGAAGCGTCAATGTGGAGGTGGCGGCTGAGCAGAGGCGGCGGCTGACCTTCTGGAAGATTGAGGCGGCTGGGAGCTAGGGTTTAGAAAACCCTAGTTAAAACCCCAAATTAGTTTAAGGTTTTAGTTGGGCCCTCTAGTTGGGCTTCCAGATTTGTAATTGGGCCCCGATTTTGGGTCTGTTTGTAATAATAATAATTTTAATAATAATAATAATAATAAATAAAATAATAATAATAATAACAATAAAAAAATGGGTAAAAAATTAGTATCTTCAGAAAGTATACTGCAATTGCACAGAATGATTGACAGCAAGGAGAGGCTAATTTCGAACCAGGAAGCACAACTTCAACAAAGGAATTCAATGGTGGATATTGCTAAAGATAAAAGTGATTTATGGTCATTGTATAGAAAGCAAGAACTAATTTAGTTCCAAAAATCAAGGGCGAATTGGATTGAGGATGAAGATCGGAATTTAAGGTATTTTCATCAATGTGCTGCAAATAAAGGGAGGATCAATGCTATTAATTCTTTGGATGTAAGTGGTAATCTGATTAAGGAACCAGAAAAGATCAAATCTTCCATTTTTTTTATTTTTTTCAAGGCTGCTTACAATGCCAATCCGACGATTGAAGTTGAGAAGCTGGAACTGAATTTTAATAGGCTCTCGGAGGATCAAGTTGAACTTTTAGATAGGAATTTCTCAGAGGAAGAAATTTGGGAGGTAATAGAGTCTTCGGATAGTAACAAAGCTCCAGGTCCATATGGATTGAATATGGGATTCTTCAAGAAATTTTGGTCGGTTTTAAAATGAGATATTCACAACTTTTTTAAAGACTTCTATGATGGGAAAAAGTTTGGGAAATGTATTAACCATTCTTGCATTACTCTTATTCCAAAGAAGTCGAATCCGGTTAGTATTGAAAACTATAGACCAATTAGTTTGGTAGGGGGATTATACAAAATTTTGTCAAAAGTTTTGTCAAGAAGGTTAAGGATGTGCATAGGAGGGTTGATTGGTCATTCTCAATTTGCTTTCATCCCGTGAAGACATATTTGTGAATGTTCTTTAATTGCTAATGAAGCCATTGATTTTTGGATGAGGAAAGGAAAGGAAGGTATTGTGTTCAAAGTGGACTTCAAGAGAGCTTATGATACTGTTGATTGGAATATTTTAATCCAAATCATGGAGTCTATAGGGTTTAGTAGAAGATGGAGGTCGTGGATATTAAGTTGTTTGAATACAACTTCAATTTCAGTTCTTGTTAATGGTTCTCCTACTGCAAGCTTCGAAGTCTCTAGGGGGCTGAGAAAAGGGTGCTCTTTATCCCCACTTCTGTTTAATTTAGTGGGTGAATTTCTGAATCTGTTGTTGTCTAAAGCAGCAGTGTTGGGGCTGTTCGATGGGTTTCAGATAGGCTGTGATAATTCTTCAGTCATGTTGTCTCATTTACAATTTGCTGATGACTTGATTATTTTTTGCAAAGCTTTTAAAGGATAATTGGAAAATCTGAAGAGGGTTTTGGTTGTATTTGAGATGTGTATAGGGCTGCAGTTGAATTTGTTGAAGAGTAGGATTTTTGGTATTAATTTACAAGATCAGATTGTTGGGGAATAGGCAAATTCGATTGGTTGTTTAAGAGACTCTTTTCTGATGGAATATTTAGGGTTACCATTGGGAGCAAGAATAAATTCGATTCAGCTATGGGAATCGATTGTGAATAAGTTCTACTAGAAACTGGCAGGATGGAAATCAAGTTAATTATCCATTGCATAAAGGACAGTCTTGATTAAATCAGTCCTGAATGCACTTCCTAATTATTATCTGACGCTTTTTAAAATGCCAGTGGTTGTACGGAAGAAACTGGAATCTATTATGGCCAACTTCTTGTGGGGTTCATCGGCAGAGAAGAAACGGTTCCACTGGGTTAATTGGAACACTGTTTGTAAAAATAAGGATTTTGGCGGACTGGAAATTTTGGATCTTAAGTTACGGAATAGGGCTTTATTGGCCAAAATGGGTTTGGAAGTTTGGTTCTGAGAAGGATGCTTGGTGGAAGACAATCATATGTTCTAAGCATAATGTGGATAGGAGTTCTATTGCTTTAGATGGTAAATTGCCTGCCAATGTGTCTTGGATTTGGAAGGGCGTTTTAAACAACTTTCGGTCTAATGACATATTTGGCTTATGTTTTCGAAATCATTTACTGCTTCAGGTGGGGAAAGGAGATTTAATTAGGTTTTGGCATGACTCATGGATTAATAACCATTCCTTGAAGACTCTATTTCCAAGGATTTTTGCTCTGTGTGTTAATAAGGAAGGGGTGGTCGCTGATTTTGGTTGTATGTCCAATGGGGAGTGGGTGTGGGATTTACAACTTAGAAGGAATTTAATGGATAGTGAATATGAACTGTGGATGGGAATGATGGGAATGTTGAATAATTTTTGTCCTCTGTTTATGGGTGAAGACCGTTTTGCTTGGAAAGGAAGTGGGGATGGTGTGTTTTCAGTTCAATCTTGCTCTAGAGTAATATCAAGATTATCAGACTCAGATAATTCATGGTTTGAGATTGTGTGGAAGGGCTTAGTTCCACCAAAAGTGGAGATTTTTCTTTGGCAAATTATTCATCAGAAGTTGGCTGTCAAATATGTTTTATTGAGCAGAGGAGTCAAAGGTATTGACAATCCACTTTGCGTGTTTTGTGGAGTGAAACCAGAAACGGTGAGTCATTTATTCTTTTCTTGTGATCAGATTTGGGTTAAATTCCTCCGTTTGTGGAATGTTTTCTCAGTATTACATAATAATCCTAAAGGCTTCTTACTTTCTTGGCTGCATTTATGTCCTAATTCGGTTATTTGGCAATTTTTTTCAGGAGCTATTTTGTGGTCTGTGTGGCTGTACAGGAATCAGATTGTGTTTGAGAAAGGAAAGATGGATAAAGCTAATCTGTTCTTTTTGGTGAGATATAGGGTGGCATCATGGTTCTTGGCTAAAAACAAGGACTTTTTTATTTAGGTTGACAGCCTTGTGGGAGACCTTACTTTGGCGGATAGGCATCTGTCCCCCTCTAACTTTCGTTTGTCAAAACTAAAATGGTGCTCTCCTCCTCTGGGTTATTTTAAGATGAATGTTGATGAGGCTATTAATAATGACTGGAGAAGAAGTGGTATTGGTGGAGTCCTTAAGGATGTTGATAATAGGAAGCTGGTTTTTTTCTCTAGGGCAATAGGACCTTGTTCTTGTTGAGATATTTGCGATCAAAGTAGGGTTAGAAGTGTTTTTTGAGTCAGTTTGGAGGGATAAGGGAATTCTGATTTTAGAAAGTGACTCGCTTCTTGCTGTGAAGTGGATCAACAGCCCGGAACTTTGCCCGGTACACTTTGTTGATTTGATTACAGAAATTCAGATCACAGTGGTGCAATCTAATGTTATTATTTCGCATATCAACAGATGTATTAATGAGGAAGCCGATAGTTTAGCTAAATCAGGAATTGGTTAGTGAGTGAGGAGGTTGTATTGAGTTGTGGTTTTGGTGTTTTTGTTTTGGTTGTATTTTTATGTTTGGTAATCTTATGTAATTTTGGGTTATTAATATACTGAGGTACTCTTTTCCTCATTCCGCTGTTTGTCTCTTCACAAGAGGCAATTATGAGGGAGGTTTTTAATGAGACCTCCTATTCCTATAAAAAAAATTATGCAATGAAAGCTTTTAGTCTTTTTCTACTTTTGTGGATGTTTGGAATTTTCTTATTTGTGGATTACTTGGTGGTGCAGACCTTTCTTCGAGCCCCTTTATGATGTCCAGCTTATGACTTGTACCAGTTTGGGACTTGATTAATTCCTGGATATTGTAAGTAAATCATGCTTCATCCCTAGTTAATGCTCTGCTTGATCAACAAAAAGAAAATGGAAATAAAAAATAGCATAGGTAGCAATGCAGTTTATAGGGTCTACATTTCCCCTCCCATATCTCCCCAATGAGATTGAAACTCTCCGTAACAACAGGCACATCGTAACGGTCTTGAGGAATAAAGACATCATGCATGTAATAATATTTGGTGACAATTTAGAGACCGGGAAGCGATTGAACAGCCCTGTTGTGCATTTAGGTGGGTTTTCTTGCATTTTTGTGCTTAAATGAGTTCAGAATTAGTATTTTATCTTTGTGCTTATTTTTTTCTCTCATTAATTGGAGCTGTCCTTGTTTATTCAATAATTCATTCTAAACCCTAAACCTCTCATATTGTGGCAGTTGTGTTTGAGAAATGCCTGCTCAGGCTACTTCAGTTTGAGAATATTATTGTGGCTTGACAGGTGGTGGCATTCCCATGTTTATGTGTGCGGTATGATTACATATATTAGAGAAACTAATCCTTTTCTCAGTTACAATGCAAAATTCCTTAAATTGTTTCTTAAACAGGTTTTTGTTTTCTAGTGGATTGATTTTGTAATGAAGCTTATGAACGAGAAATGGCGTTTGCATTGATGGTGATGGTGTTCTTTAATTTAATCAGTGTAGTAATTTGTTTAGCACTCAACCTTAAATATTCTTGATTTCACCCAATATCTAATTAACATTAGGGTTTTTATAATGATACATTTATACTGTTATCATTTAAGGTACATGTCCATTAACAAACACTAAATCAAATAGGCTTACGTAAACTTTAATATACACTTGCGCGACAAATAATTTTCTTAAATTCAATATAATAATATTATACAAAATATAAATAAACTACATGTCGTAACCGGTTTTCGCCCGGACACGAAATTTTTACTTGGCGGGAAAAATAAAACTAATAAATAAATGATTTTTATTTAAAATATATTTTGGGAGCCGTCATTGACCCTTTTGAGTTAGATAGGTCAAATACCTAAAAACAATCTTTTAAAATAGTTTTTAATAAAACATAATTTAAAAGATAAAATTGATCTGCGTATAACCAAAAATTTTATTAAAACAAGATTCGTGGTCGATTACGTTTAGGGAATGATTAGCACCCCCATAACGCCCAAAATTGGTACTTTATTAATTATAAATTGTCTCTATTATTGAAAATTTTAAAATTCAAAGATATATTTAATTTATAATATTATTATTTCAAATTTATAATTTTATGAAAATATATAATTTAAATAAGATATTTATTTATTTAGAAATATCAGAAAAGGACTTCTAGGTGCCTTAAGACAGCTCTTTTCTTCGAGATTAAATAAATATTAATAAAAAAATAGTATATATTTTATAGAATAAAAATATCAAAAAACGGACTTCTAGGTGCTTTAAGACAGTCCTTTTCTTTAATATTAATAAATATATTAAAAATGCTTATAATAATTAAAAAATATTTTATATTAAATTTATAAATAATATTTATATATATATATATATATATATATCTATAGGATTAAGTAATAATAAAAAAAATGATAAATAACTAAAATATAAAAGAAATTACAATTATATAATTAAATCACAAGATAAATAAAACTTATGGTCAAAATTATATAAAATTTACTTATTAAATTAGAATATAAACAATTAATGGCCATAGTTATAAATATTATGTAGTATATATATTAAAAATGTAATTTAACCCTAAAATTTAATATGAGACTAAAATAAATTTTAATAAAGTTTAAGGGATTAATTATAATATGTACCTAAATTACTAGTCAGGATTAAAATAAATATTATTTAAAGAGTAAGGACTAAATACATATTTTACCTTAATTATTTATATAAATATTCGGTCAGAACTAAATTATAAGAAAATAAAATTAAAGGACTAAATCACAACATATAGGAAATGATTTCAGTGACTAAAATGGAATGTTATAAAACTAAGATGGTTGCGGAAAGGATTTGGCCAAACGCAAAATTACAGATATACCCCTTCCCAAAACGATGTCGTTTGGGAAGGGATATATATTTCCCCAAAAGCATTCTCATTTTTTCTCTTCTTCTTCTCTCTCAAAAATGAGAGAAGAAGAGCTCTCTCCCTTCTCTCTTAGTTTCCCTCACAGGAGGGAAACGATCTCCGGTTGGCCACCGCCAAATCCGCCGCCGGGCACCACATCCGATGGCCGAAAATTACAAAACCCTCCCCAAATTAAAGCTTGTTTTCCCCTAAAGCTAAATCCGGAGGTTTTTTAGCCTAAAATATTACTAAAATGCGTAGATCTAAATTTGTTTTACCTTCGACCTTTGGCTTTCCGACGGCGCAAGGAGGCTCTGATGACCGTTGTTCCCTCGGTAAGTTTCCCTTTCACTTTTCCTTGCTGTTTTTGGTGATTTGTGATTGCTGGATTTCTTTTTTTTTCTTCTCTGTGGTTGTTGGTCTCTTGTTTGCAGGTGGTCGATGGCTTTTATAGCCATCGACGGTGTGGCTCTCGGACCAGTTAATAAGGTGGATGTTTAGTGAGTCACCAGACTTCCAGTGGTGACTCACTGTAGAGCGACGTGTGTGCGGCTGGAGTAGCTCTTCTGGAAGCTTTCGACGGGACATGGCAGTGGCGGAGCGACGTGGATATTGTGGAAGCAACAGCGGCGGCCGCGTGTTCCCTAGGGTATCATAACCCTAGGGTTTCTTGCTGGAGCGTCTAAGGACCGTTGGATCTTGCCAGATCCAACGGTTGATGATGCGATGGCTAGGGCACAGAGATGATAGAAAATCCTAAATGGGTTTAGGGTTTGTTTGTTGTTGGACCGGTCTGGGTTGGTCTCTTGTAACTGGGACGGTCCAGTTTTGGGTCTGTAATAACTTAATTAATAATAGTAATAAATAATAATAATAATAATAATATAATAGTAAAATAAAATAATATTAATAATAATATAATATTATTATTATTTATAAAAAAATTAGTATCTTCACTACAAATATAATATTATTTCTAAATACAACAACAACAACAACAACAACAAAACCCAATTCCCATATGTATGGGGTAAGGGGGAGGTAGGGTAGTAGGCTGCCCCCAACGCCAGGTTGAGAATAGCTTCCGTGAAAGACCTCCGGCACTCAGAAAATTAAAAATATAGATAAAATGCAATGCATGTATAAATAATTACATAAATACATAGCTAAACAATATTCATATGCAGTCATTAATATCATATGTGCTTCTGTAATGGGGAGTAATCCCTGCAAAATAATCCCTGCGAAAGAATCTCTGCATATAGACAGAAACATAAGACCGGCTAAATTTAACAGAGGAAACATGACGAGAATGATACACAGAAGACAATTATAGCAAGCCCAGTTCTAATCTTTCATAAATACCAATAACAGAAAAGTATAAAAAGTAAAAGTCATGGAAATTACTACAAATGCATTTAAAAGAAGACAAAGATGATACACCCTATAGATAAAATCCCTAAACTACCCAGATCTAAAGAGGTCCGTTATTTTTCAAAAAATAAAGTTCATCTAAAGATCGAAAAAAATACTCGTTTAAATTTATTTGAACTTATATCTTTATTAGTTTTATAATGACTATATCAATTGATTTATTAGTCTTAGTTTTTCTCTCTTCCTTTTGTTGCTAATCCCTTTTCTTTTCCATCTTTATCAATTTTGTTATTGGTCGACAATCAATAATATTCATTATTTTTCTTTTATTTTCTTTTATTATATTTTTATTTTATTTTTTAAAAATTTTAGTTTTATGACATATTTTCTTATACATTTGGGCATGATTTCAACCTTTTTATTGATTGTTATTTTTGTTTAACTTTTTATGGTTAGATTTGATGTAGTCTAGATTGATCAAGATGACACTTGTTTATTATCATGTTGGTCTTTCTTAATTTGGATCCTCAAATTGGATTTGGCTACGTTATTTGAGGTCGGGTATAGTTTTTTCACGACGCTCAATTCTGATTTACGATTGTCAGTGGTCTTTTAGTAGTTTGATTCTTTGTTGTGGTTCGTTTACCGATACAATTATATTTATTCGTATTTATATTTTGCTCGAGTTCTTTGTATTAGTTTTTAACATTTCTATTGTATGATCCATGCATAATTACAAGTGATTGGTTTCTTATATATTTAATTTATGTTTAATCGTAAACCTTCGTTATAATTTTGAATACTTTATCTTTTTTAATAAAGTTAATCGTTTCTATTTGCATAAAAAAATTCAACTAAAATACCTAATATGCAACACCTATTATACCCTAGAAATTAACCGTTCTCAAACTAATGTATTGCATTGAGGGATAGCTTTTATTGATTGGTATAGATTCCTCTCATTTCTTTTTCTTGACTTGTGAAAGTATCATAATTGGTTGTGAAATTGTACCCAGCAACACGCTTTTCTTACAGCATGTCATAATCCAAAGACCACGCCACTTGCTCAAGTCTTTCCCTGTTTGCAACCTTAATTAATGCCTTCAATAATTCTTTCATAAATTAAAAGCCTTATTTTTTTTATTTTTCAGATTTAATCACATAGCAAGACGATGTCGGTTTAAGTCTCTACACGATAAAGTTCAACTTCTTAATAATATGTTGGCATAAAATTTATAAAAACACACAATTAACTAAATAAACACGAAGAAACTCAAATCACATGCTTCTGAAAAAATAATTTTAAGGTTTAAAACTACACTTACAAACATTAGTTTAATACAAACAATATTCATTCATCACATGAAAGTCAGTAAATTATTATTGTAGCAATGTAAGACTTTTATTGAAAAAATAGTAAATGAAACCGTAAAAAATAATCGAAGACTTATCTGTAAAAAAATATATGTTATTTGCATATACAAAATATATTTTTCCTTCAAAGTATTATGACTTTTATGGCCTTTTTAACCATACAAATTTTGAGTTGTTATTGACGAGGGGAAAAAGTGTAGGGATTGAATTGACACTAATGACAGGGAAGC